TTCCCATTTTTTTATTTATATTGGGTACATGTATGGGACTTAAAACGAAAACTATATTACAGTATTATATTATATAGAGAAATTTGTCAGCCTTTCAAAGTTGATTTGATATCAGTCTGAGTGAAGAATGCTTTAAAGGTGTATATGTGACTTACCTCGTCTACGTGTTGTAACGATGACAACCTTGAAATAACTGGTTGAAGATGGGAAGGTAAAACGATATAGAATATCAGGAAGATCGCCTTATCGATAGATAAATCAATTGAAACTTCTGCTTTTGTAAGCTTTGCTTAAAAAACGATAAGAGAAGCGTACGGCCTAAGAGAAAATATAATTGAACAAGATCTGATTGGATCTATAATCTGATATTATACATTATACATTATACTAAAGTACTAATTCTCATAATATATTTGTCCAATTTTGATCATTTTTTATTCACTTGTAGATAAGTTTTAGTGCACTGCTTAAGAAAAACAACATTTAATACGTTTTATTGAAATTCGTCATTTGAGGGTATTTTGAATTTAAGCGTGGTCAAAAAAACACTGACAGCACTGAATAGTTTGGTCACAAAAATAAAGAGATAATTTCGCAAAACATCAAGAAATCTAAAAGCAATTTGGTTTCGGATACCCATAAATTAAAGGATACGGGTTTCAACCCATATGTTGACATCAAGATAAAGGACAAGTAAACTTGAAAGAATATTAATAATATTCTATCATTCCATTACTAGACTCAGAGCACAAATCGACATTAATTTGTAGTATTGTACTTCAGTACACTATCTATATCCATTTACTATATGTAATACTATCAACGATAGTTAGAACCAAAGTTTTCGTAAAAGTCCTATGATGATTCCTATAATCTTTTGATGATGATTATAATAATTTTAGTGTGATAAAAAGATAAATATAATTAATTAATTCCTAGTTGTCAGTTTAGTTGGCTAATAATCGCTAACTCTGAGCTTTATGGGCATTTGACAATACTCGAAAAATGACGTTAAAGTACAACTTGTAAATCACGATCTATAACTTCGCCAGTTTATTGGCCTCAACTAGGAGAGTAATTCATTTTATGAACTCATACGCAACAATCTCATCAACTGGTAAATTATTTGATAAATCAGAAAAGTGAATTTGGGGTGATATAAAATGAATCAAATGTAAATGAAGTAAAGACTTTACACTCTTTGCTTTCATCACCGATATCATGGTGCGTGTGTCCTTAAGCTGTGGTATACAAAATTTAGATATTGATATGGTATTGAGAATACATATGATACAGACAATATGAAGGATCACGTGTTTCTGTCTAAGGAATAAAGCTTCAGTATTCCTTAAGTTCGCAAAAATGCCCGATTTGAAAATGCAGGGTTGAACTTCATCTGGGATGGTTAGAAATGAATAGATCAATGCATGACCTTATATCCAGCCAAATTAACCTATCCTGAGGAAAGTTAAATAGTAGTTACTTCTAAGAGAAGTGACTACTTACTGTAGAAGAGTTTACTTTAACTATACATCTACTACTACTACTATCCGCTTCCTACATTTGTTTTATCTTTTCATATACCCATATTTTTTTTTTTTGTCATTATTAGATTTATAAGTCAATATATCTGCTAAACAAAGACTTTAAGTAAATTAACAATTCCATGAAAGTGTTATGCTGTTCACGGTTCAGTTGGTGCACATCCTCCTAATCGTGACACGTGCTGGAAATCTATAATTACAGGGTTTGCATAAACCAACGATAACAAAAAGGCATACACACAAACCAACCCAAAAGGTCGTCACATACTTCTGTGTTAGTAAGCAAGTTCCTTAAAACAAATTTTTTTTATCTGCAACAAAAAGTATCTTATTCTGCGAATTTGTAGCTACTAATTTTGGGTGAATAAAAATAGCATAAAGGAATAAAAGAATAAGAGAATAAAAAAGTTGAGTGTGAACAAGCGTGTGCGAATGTGGTTTTTTGTATGGGAAATCTTTTTATTTTTGTTGGATTTGGGTTTCAAAAGGAAGTTCCAGAGCAAAATCAATTATATTTATTTCTGTTGTAACTTTGAATTGTTTAGAGTTTTTTCTAACAGGATTTAAAGAATTTTATTATATTTTTTTTTAAATCACTTATAAAGTTTATCTCCAACATCAGTCAAACATAGATAATTCGGTTAATAAAACATTTTAAACACATGTAGAGACAGGCACACCCTGCTTTAGGAATAGATAGAGATAGAGTACTAAAAGTAGCAAGGGACTAATATTTCCTTTGTGGAATTTAATTAGATTAACTTTTTGGTTTAATAATATTAAAAGTATATCGCAGTAACATGGAATGAAACTTATTTTAATTTTATTTTTAAGAGTTGAATAAAATTTTGATATAAGCAAAATTGAATTGAATTCGCATATTATACAGGTATATTTTGAATATCAATACATGTATTCTTATAAAATAAATATATATTTAGGTGGTACTATAATACATACCTTTTTTTAAAAAAATTATGAAAATCAAGAAAATCTTATTCAATTTTAGAAACAGGTACAATAGGTAGGATAGGATAGGAGGTACAATATCTTCACTAAGACTTATTGCGAATTCATTAAGTAAACTCAGTTTTATATAACATATAAATCCCTACTGTTAATGTCATTCTATTAAATTTTTATTATCTTTACCTATTTAAAAAAATTTATAGAATCAAGAAAGGCTTAAAAGTCCAGCTTAGTCATAGAAAAAACTATCACTAAGATTCATTAGGAATCAATTAGAAAATATTAGTTCTATATAAAAAGGAGAATTTTTCCACTAAAATTTATTAAGTTATTAAGTGCTATACATCTTTTAAGGCCAAATTAGGTTATAAATCAAACTGATGGTTTTTCCGTGAGTCAATTTATTGTTTATATGCAAATTTTTATATAAGTTTTTAATTAATTTTTTGATTTCTTTCAACCGTATAATCATATGAAAATCAGAGAAAAGATTTAAACATATGATCATTTTATTTTTGTGTCCAAACATAGTTATCTACTAATTGAAGGTTTATCACCGATATGGCCATATAACCATTTTTATGGTCACAACCCCATGCCCGCAGTATATTGCCAAGTGACAATATCCAGTATTATATTGTACAGTAAAGGCCAGTCACCAGATGATTACTTTATATTCGTGTTCAAACGTTCAGTTATCTACTTACTGAAGAAGTCAACCACTGAAATAGGTTATTTTAGAAAAACTTCCGAACAGCAAATATATTAAAAAAGAAAGTTTCCAACTGAGACAGTTTTATGTTAATGGTCTTTTCTTTTGTAAGTATACCACAAAAGAACAACCGCTTATTCATTTCCGAAATGTTAAATTTTATATGTTTTCCATATTTATTTATTTTATATTGTTCTTCTGCGATAAGCTTTGAAAAAAAAAAGGCTATTGATGTTTTAATTAATTTGATCTGAAATATATATATACATATATATATTTTCAAGATAACATTGATATTCTTTTTGTCAATCTATTCTAGAGTATATATATATATATATAATATATATATATATATATATTCAAAAACCATATAGTCAATCACTGTGAAAATTTGGGAAATTATTAGGTTTATCCCCTGGAAGATTTTTGCAAATTTTTATTAAAAGCAGAGTAGGGGTTCTATGTTCATTTAATTAGTAATATTTTAGTAAAAGACTATTATGTAATATAATTTCCAACACCATTAAAAACAATCTAGCAATCCTAGATAAATACAACTCTGCGGTGAAGTCTAACTTCACGTAGTAAAAGGGTGTGAGTGATAATATGAGTTTAAGACTATTAAGTAAGTCTTGTTATATATATTTTTTAAATTAAATATTAAATAATTTAATTTTTAATTTAAAGTTAATTTAAATAGAACAACGACTATAGTGAAAATATACTGCATAAACATTCAAGGATATATATCAAAGGGTTGTAATATTTATTGCTCTTTATATTTATAGTTATATTTTAACTGGAACTTCAATAATGATTATCGTTCGGATTTGTGATTCGTAAAAATTAGATGACATTATATTGACAAATCATATTGAAGCAATGACCCTGCATTAAACTCATATCATATCAGAATTAAAACATATACCTACCTATACATTTTTCAGATCCTGCAGTTGGAATCCTTTTACTTAAAATTTAATATATTTTGAGTAGATTTTTGAAAACCTTTAATTTGAGTCTTAACAACTGTAAGTTAAAGAATTTTTAGGATTCAATTATCATTTTAGCATAGGTTTTTGATGATTTTATGGTTTTATGAGTATATATATAAAAAGTAGTCCGTACCCCACTTAGACAACTTTTATAATATCTTTTTATTAGTTACTAGAATAAAAATTCCTATTAAAATCTAGAATTTGAAGAGAAGTCTTCATAATTTAAAATGGCTGAAGAATTGGTAGTGTTGCCTAATGGTTTGTAAATTTGATTTCTCTCATTTACAGTATTTGTACCTGCTTTGCATATTTACCACACGTTCATAGATTTACTGAGATACGAGTACCTTTGTATCTCCGTATAGATATATGCAAATATTAGCACATACCCGCGTATTTGGCATTCTCGTGCGAATTTTCCAGCAAAAATTTCTGTTGCATTTCGCCTATTTAACGTTTTCGGAACGCACGAACTACAATGAGTTTAAACGCGTTTAATTTATGCTAATTTCCTTACAAAAATATATTTAACAAAATGAAAGGATAACAAATTTTGCAGAGGTAAATGTAAATGTAAAAATTTTTAAATTAATGCAGTAAGTTTTAGCGAAAAAGGACCTTTGAAATTCAATTCACTTTTTCAAAGAAAAAATTTTTAAATTTAAAATTAAATTATGCCATCGTAGTATTTAAATATTTTTATATCATAAAACATAATATAATATAATTAATATAAATTTAATTTAAATTTAATTTAAAAAATATTTTTTCTGTTAGAAATTGTTGTGTGTAATTGTACAAAATTAATTGTAACCATTATAAAATGGGGAAAAAGTTGCATAAGGAGATTGTTACAGATGATGAAGATGAAGACATCTCTTCCGATGATAATTCATTTGTTGTTAAAAAAATTAACAGAAAAAAATACAGAAAGCATCAGGTAATCATCATTATGCATAGCAAAAAACTCAATAATATTCATATGTGTAATAAATTTCAGGAAAATAAATTAAAACCTCAACGTAAAAATAAAAAAAGGAAACGTTGTTCTGACTGCCAGGCGCTGGTAAGTAGAAAAATTAAAAAAAAAAACAAATATTTGTATCGAAAAAAAATCTATAAACAATAAATTTTATTAATAATATATTTTAGTATTTAATTCAATAAGTAAACAGCACAAAAAAAAATATTTAATAATATTTAAAATTAATATTTTTTATAAGTGTCAGACTGAAGGTTCAAAACTTTTTCACGAGAAAGGGTCTCAAGTAAGTAAATTATGTTTAGAACTCAAATTATACTACAAATATTATATATATTATTATATAAATCTTAGATTGAGGAACCTAAGGGTACTGCAGGACTACCTAAACACGATCAACGTCCTTTTCCAGTAAGTGGAAAATAATATTTACCCTCTAGTACTCTCTTTAGGTATAGAGAGCACTATTTACATACTTATACACATACTAACAAATTATATATTGAAAGATATTTCAGCAATCTTTTCCTTTTTTATATTCACATTTGATAAGTAAATACATTATAATAATTGATTCCCAAATAGTAACGTAGTATGCGTAATGGTGAGTTGGTTAAAGCAGTATTCAATTCATTAATCCATTTCGCCACATTACCGTATGCAATTGGTTTTATGATTGTTTATATAAACAACTTTATTCGATCTCGACCATGAGGTTTAGAAATTTCTGAAATTCTTTAATGTTTTTTTACATTACCTCTTCCAAAATCATTGGAGAACTGTTTACGTTAGGTAATTGTTCTTTGCTTGTACCATAGAGCAGAAGCTGAAGATATAAGAAGCAGTTTTCTCTTTTGCTGGCCCTGCTTTTTTACTATAAGAGTAATGTCGGTTTCGATTGTTAAATCTTGATTCAACCTAGATTTATTCCTGATCTGTCACACTTTGTGTCCCAGTTGAACGCTTTAAGAATAATCTAACTTTTTTTAGTAGTGTTATTAGGCATTTATATTTTTCATAAATACATATGTCGAATTAAATAACACTATCTGTAAAGTCATATAAAAGAGCTGTGAATTTAAGAGTAATTCTGATGACAAATCTCCAGTTTGGTCTGAGGAGCTAGAAGTTTGAAATAAATAAGAGAAATAAATATAAAATTATTCTCAAGTGTTATACATTTCACTCGAAATTTACTAAACAAAAATAAAGATTGCTCTATAAGTGAATCTCAATTGAATAAGTTACCCCAGATTTACCAATCGATAATGACTTACATATGGTATTGTAAATTATTATTTAGGTCATTTATTTCCAATATCACCTGAATACTGTTATAACTGCGGTTAGTTTAGAGTTTCTTCTAAATTTCTAATTTTTCATAGATTTTTAAATACATTTAATAGTGTTATTACCCGTTCTGTAGGAACTTCTTCCATTGCAGATATATATAGGATACATGTAGGATATATATCTTATATCCTATATTACAATGAATATATATATATCTATATAAATATATGTTAACATAGCATATAATAATATATAAATTTTTAGATCATTATACCACAGGGCCTTAACAAAAAATGCAGAAGTCAAAAAATTAATGCAGCTGCACGTCGAGCTTTGGTAAGAACGAGAAAATTTAACAAATTAAAAATAATTAAAAAATACTACTTCTATTCCTTAATATTATAAATAAATTATGATTTTTTATTTTTCAGATTAGCAGACCAAATCAGCAATTAAGAAGTTGTACCTGTTTACCGATGGTAAGAATCAAATACTTATAATTTCATAATACGAGTAAAAAAGAATCTTAACTAAAATCCTCAACCTCATTTACTGAAGCAATTAAGTTAGATATTAAATATGATACCAAAATCAGATAAAGTCAATTTATAATAAATTAATAACAATAATAAATTTATGGGTATCATGTGTGGGGTCAGTATATATACAAGTATTTTCCTAAAATTCTTATCGAATAATAATACATGAAAAACAATATGCAACTTTTAAACAAAGTTAATATTATTATTTACTCTTGCAAATCATGATCGCTGGCGTCTGATAACGAAACACCGGAATAAAAATAAAATATAATTATATATAAATAATGTTTATTCATTAAATAAAAAATAAAAATTTTTTAATAAAAATTAAATAAAAAATAAAAATTTTTTAATAAAAATTAAATTTTAAATAAAAATTAATTTTCCATTTTAAATTTAATTAAATAAATTCAAAATACTAATTAATATACTTTTAAATAATTTTATTTAATCAAAAAATATATTAATTTTTACAAATTTATTTGTTTATATATTAATTATATTATATTAATTATATATTAATATATATTATATATATATATATATATTATATATATATATATATATTAATATATATTAATATTATATATTAATTATATATATTAATTTTTAATTAATTTATATATTAGATTATACTAAGTTAAATAAATAAATAAATAAATGGGTCACTGTCTCCTTCAACACATTTCTTAGCATTTCCAATATAGAAGTCAGAAAAAGTGCTTGAATTATCAATGTATTCGTCTAATTATTTAACACCTAATTCTCTCTTCAGAACCACTAGGTTTGTGGAATCGAAAATGGTTTCTGAGTAATTAAGGATCTACGACATATCCTCATTTTATCTTCCTACACAATCAAATCTATCTTCTAAACGTTAACATAACAATGAAAGTAAATTCTCGGTAGACTTGGTATTTAATTACATAAATATTTGGACATTCACTCTACAATACCTAGGGGATATATGTATATAGTCAATAGCCCTTTCATAATCAGAAGCACAGCATTAAAGATTATTTTTGAATAAAAAAAAGATTGAAAAACCAATTATAATTATTACTCGGGATTACAATTTTTCTATCAGAAACTATATTGCAAGGGTCTTACGATAACTTTTTGTATTTTTTTTTAAATTCCAAAAGTTTTTAATGAGTTACTCTTCAATAAATTTCAAAAGAAACTATTTTCTTATTTGAATATTGAATTAACTATATTTTATTTTTTTCGAAAATTGACTTTCAAAAAACTGTAAATTTCGAGTTTTTTCAAATACCCATAATTAGTGAGTATATATAATATATTCATAATTATTTATATTATTCACATAAGTAATTTTTTAAGCTGAAAAATTATTTTTATAGCTTTTTATAAAGATATAGAAAATAGAACTAAGATGTATATATGCGTTCAATTTTCAGATTATAATTCCAGACATTTCTCACCGGACTCAAGCTGCCCGGGCAATGGTAAGAAAGAAAACTTTAACATATAATTCTTATATACAATATAATTTATTCATAATATTTCTCTAATATATATTAATAAAAATATATAAAATATTTTGTGTTTAAGATAAAATATATAATTCAATAACCATATAAATTATATATATGTACATAATTGTAGATATGGGAAATGAAGCAGGAAGAGCGACAAAAAAGGTGTCGAGATTTGGTAAGAATAAAAAATATTCTCAAATAAATTTAATCATTATTTTAAGATATCAAACAGTGAAAGATTAGTTGAATTGACGGTTTTGCGTCCGTACTTTATTGCTTGTCCCCAAGTTATATTTTTCATACAAAATATTTTCTTTCAAATGGAAAGTTATAACCAGACAAAATTACTGGTTCCATCAATATTCGCTTTCGCTTTATGTCTTTCTTTATAGATATATAAAATACATTTCTACGATTGTCTTATGTTGAGGTTTTTTAAAATTAGTACAACTGTGCACTTTTACTGTTTGATAGCTGGGGGTTTTCAACAGAATCCCTCCCTCACAAGCTCCTCACATTATTCGATAACTGATATAAGATCTGCAAACCACCCCGTACGACTAGTGACTATTTTGAGATTAGATAGTGCTATGTAGGTAGGCCAGCCTATCAGTTTTCGTGTATAACTTCAGGGCTCTGTTCCTGATGTATTTTGTTGTCTGGGTCTATTTTGAGGTCTGGGTTTATTTTGGCATTTTGAAAAGTCTTCGAAGACACAAAATGTAAATTTTTTTTATAAAAATATATGAAAACAAAAATTCAACTTTAGAAAAATAATAAATATTTCTTGTGAAAGTATTTGATATCTATTTGTTTTATTAAAGTAGATATGTACTTATTTGTAATAATTTATGCAGCTGTTTAGTTGATAAATTTTGAAAGTTTGCTATTCGAATGCATAATGTGTATGTATGTAGTTATTATATCCATCAATATTTATGGGAGTGTATTAGATAAAAAAGCATTTATTTGCATTTTCGAGAGTATAATGTTCACATTCTACTCCGATGGGCTCAATAATGTGAGGCAAAGGGTCTTACATATTTGAGTATATAATTAAGTCCCTTCCATTGCATCATATTTTATGGTGAATTACAGTGTAGGGATTTTGATTATTTACGATTCCTTTTTTTCCAACCCATTCTGATGAGTCTGGTTGGTTACCAGACGAAACGCGTCAATGGTAACCATTAACTTCAGGTTACTTTGTTGGTTCATACCAACACGTAGGATATCCTAATACCATGACTGAATTTGGATGAATAATTAGAGATGGACATGGACACAGGGTTACTTAACATGTCTTTAATATTTAATAATTTAATTGTATATATCTTTAACATTTTCATATATATAAATTTTACATAATATTGTACGCAATTTGCATACATTCCATATTTGGATTTATATAGAAATTGAAATATAAGGAAAGGGATTTTTTAAACGCGGAAAATGGTGATAAGTCTGTCCAAGTAAGATTGTGGTAAAATAATTTTATAAATATTGAGTGTTTTTTGCAGAGTGTTTTTGCATGAAAAAAATCCTGAATAATTAAAAGTTAATGACTAAATTTATGTATTCTCAACAAAAATAATGTAAAAAACAATGTAAAAAACAATTTTAAAAATGATAATAAAACAAACTTAAAAACCCATCAAAAGTTAACTGCTGATAGATTAAGTATTTACAAAACGCAAGTCGATTGCAACCAGGTAACAGTGAAATACTGTTACCTGAAGACGTTTGTCTAAGCTCGTCATGATGAGAAGGACTCGGGTGGATTCCTGGGTCAATCTCGTGAAGTCATGAGAAGTTTAAATGAATGTAAAGGTGACAATGCAAGCACCTAAAACAAGAAAAGAATTACTAGAAACGATAAGCATTTAAGATATACAAGGCGGTGCGTTCGAAGATGGTGTACCTTTTTGAGCCGATTTATTAGTCTAAAAATGGTAAAAAAATGATATTGAAGAAAAATTGTCCATTTTTTATATTAACCGAGATACAGGTTATCATAACAAAATGCTACTTGAAAAATACACGCAGTCTTAAAACTCTCAATATCTGAAAAATGGATTCTTCAAATAGTTTTAATTGCACAATAACTTTTAGTCCATGATATATTCTTTAATAGATCCATACAAATGTGTTTAGTACAAAGACACTATTAGTTCTCAAATTATGAATAGGTCAGATTTTTAAAAAATTTTAAAAAATTTTAATGGACAACCCCATTTAACTCAAAATTTTTACAAAATTTTTGTTGTTTTCAACTATAGTCCACGCTCACACAAATTAAAACCATTTTCGAGGATTTCATATATCATGTTAATATGTTTATCGTAATAAAAGTTAACAAAATAGTAAAATAGTGAAAATTACCCTCTTTTTTACAAAAATTCCTTAGCTTATTCATTAATTGCAGAAACGCTCGGGAACTTAGTCGAATTTATTTCATAAAACTATGTTAGTAAATTCTTGAAAAGAAGCCCTACAGCGTTTATTTTTGATAACATTATTTAAATTATATATTTTTAAATATCGTTTCATATACTACATTATGAACAATCAACATATTTCAGATTGAGAAGAGGAGACAACTTCAAGAAAAGCAAAAACGAACCTGCCGTAAAAAAGCTAAAAAGCGTGGTAAGAAGCCAAGGTATTCGATTCATTTTATACTTATAATAAATAAATTATTATTATTTTTTTGTAACCAATTACATAAATGATCAGATATCAGAGGCGCAAAGCAGCAAGGGCAGTAAGAAAAAAATATAGAACAGTCAAATCAAGTACTATTATCTTACGAAGAAACTCTCCTGCAAGTACTTGTAAGGGAAAAAAAATACGTCCGCGAATTTACTATACATACCCGAGGTCTAGAAAAATGTTTTACAAGTGCAAATGTGGAAATAGAAGGTCTTTAACGGTAAATATGAAAATTTTAACTTCACTAAGCTACACGCTTCTGGCTTTCACATTACATTACAGAATTATTTATTGGTTTAATTATTATAAAGACTTTATAATAAATACTAATAGAGGAAACACTTTTGCTCTTGCAAATTAATTTTGTTAGAGAGTTCATTATATCCTATTAGCTTCAATACACAAACTGTATATATTTTATAACATGTTATTTCTTTTTTACAGATAAATAAATTTATGAATATACCGGAAAGCGATACTGGATCAGTTTGTAACTGCTCCAGCCAATCATAACTCCCCTTTTGTAAGATATAGGCAATCTAAGAATGCACTTTCCTTAAAGTACCAACAAAACTACACACCACCGAAGGTAAATAATATAATAATACTCGTAAATAAATATAAAATAAACAATAAATCAATAGTAATAAAAAATAATTTGAACTAATTAAATAATTTTATCTTAGTATAGATAAAAATAAAGGAAGTGCTTCTTGCAGTCTACAGACTGGTAGAAGGTTGTTTCACTCTCAAACCCCTATACTGACTTTACCTCAAAACAGAAATATTGTGTCATCAACTTGAAGCCGAAATAAATCATAATATTGCAATTCATATTCGATAAATCTAATATGACATTCTTACTTGAAGAAACTGGTGATGTCTGCTGACTAATAGAACACTGTGCAATTCTCAGCCACTTATATGCACTATATCTTTGATGTGTCTACCTCATTTTCATAATTATTATAGCATCATCTTTATAGCATCATCTTCCATTCTCAGGAATGGAATCGAGGAAGAAAAAAAATGGGAAGATATTCAAAGAAAAAAAAAAATATTCGATGAAGAAGCTATATAAATGTATATAAGCTATATAACACATGCTTCTATTTTGATATGTAATTGCAATTCATATTAGATAAATCTAATATGACTTCTTTACTTCTAGAAAGTACTTGCAGTCTACTAACTGATCGAAAACTGTGAAACTCTCAGCGACTTTTATGCACTATTTCTTTAATGTGTCTACTTCATGTTCATAATTATTACAACATCATCTTTAATACACCAGGAATGGGGTAGACGAAGAAAAAAATTGGGAGATAACCGAAGCAGAAGCTATATAAATGTATATAAGCTATATAAGACATGTTTCTATTTTGATATGTAATTGCAATTCATATTAGATAAATCTAATATGACTTCTTTACTTCAAGAGAGTACTTCTTGCAGTATACTGACTGATAGAAAGGTGTGCAATTCTCAACGACTTATATGCAATATTTATTTGATGTGTCTAACTCACCTTCAGAATTATTGTGGCATTAAATTTAATACCGAAATCGAACACAAAGAAAAGAAATGCTGAGGTATCGAAAGAAGAAGCTATGATGAAGAATGAACAGTTCCGGTACAAATATTCTAGACCTACTTAACATTGCAATTCATATTAGATAAATCTGATATGACTTTCTCACCTGACTTTCCCCCTATTATAATCTGGATTAATGTCTTTGGTATCTATTATTGTTCCCGAAAAAGCAAAAATTTAATTGTAGCTAATGATTCTATACAAATTCTATACAAATCCTTGGAGCTAATTAATTTGGTTATAAATTCTTATATGTATATTTAGGAGAAGTATGATGTAGTATGACTTTGATAAAAATATGTGCGATTGAGTTCTTGAATTAAAAAAAGATTATATTTAAATTGAAAGTGATAAAATTTCGCCCAACTAAATAAATTTTAAGTGATAATAAAAGTATGTCGCCCAACTAAAAACATGTTTTGTTAATTTGGAACTATATACCTTAGTTCCAATCATGTATACCATGATTACAGATACGTGAATAAATAATTGTCAGGTTGTTTTTAATATATTTCTTTACATAATAACTTCGAATATGGAATTTTATTCATGTGAAATTGATCTGATATAAGCAGTTGCAGGTATATACCGGATATTATATATAATGTTATCAAGAGGGATATTTTAATTTAATAATTTATAAATAATAACTCATAATATTATTTATAACATTATGGTTATATATTTATAATTACATATAATTATATAATAACTTCTTTCCGTTAAACTTTTAATTTTCAAACTGCTGATATGTAAAATATCAGACCTACATCGCATCAAAAGATGGAAAGAAGGATTCAAATCACTACTCAGATATATTGCTCAGCAGATCTCACCGGTATACCAAGCAATATCGATTAAAATACATAATTTTAGTCACGTCTTTTAATAACGGATTTAAAACTTTAGCTCATGGTGAACATTCTTGAAATTTTATATTGTTGAATAGTACCGAATCACTTTATATTTACACGGATGACTCAAAAATAGGAAAAAAAAGGAAAAAAAATGAACCTAGTATATATTTGGAAACATTTTTAATGTTTTTTAGTTTCAGGTCACTGCGCAACTGTAATGTTTATTTGTAGAAATTAAAGGTTTTCAAGAGAGAGGTAATATGCAATACAATATTATTTATGTTTCCTTAGATAGCCAAGACGCCTTGAAATTGTTGTGCCACTTTTAAGATAAATATAGCAAACAGCACTCATCTAATTTGATTTTCAGATCAATATATTGTGAAATATCGCAAAGCCGAACAGGCCAGGAACAGGGTTTCTCTTTCAGTAAACAAAATATTATCAAAGATAGAAATCCCAGTGTCCCATCATAAGTTTTATTAGATAAAAAATAATTATAAAACCGGAGATTGTCTAGCAGATAGATCAAGCTGAAAAAATTATAACAACATGAGGCAACTATAACTGTCCCATAAAAGATCAAATACACTCTTAAATTTATCATTGATACTCATTAAGTATCAATGAGCTGACGTCTGCCCTTACAGTTTCATATTTTTGAGGTATGTATGAGAGGATTGGGTGCTTTGGCATTAACTTTTATAGAAGTTACCAGGATATAATTTATACGGATATAAAAAAACGATAGGATATTTATTATATCATTATTCGATTTGGCAGAACTGGACAATAAAAGTTCTAATTGTTAAAATAAATGATTTATAATATTGCTGAGAAGATTAGAAAAATCCTCGTAGTATCACAATGATTGCTATTAAGTTTTATTAATCTTGATTTTATGTCCAGATTTCGTCACTTCGAACTTAACTAATTGGAGCTCTAAAATCGACCCATAACCTTTGGGTCTGTAGCTAAAAGTCCCTGCCTTCAGTGAATTGCCCACATATGGTTCACTGCTGAAACTTATACTCAAAAATCTATGTTTCAAGCCAGCGGCGAACCCCCACATCAACCTTCTGAGTGTGTCAACGTCTTCATTACAGGTATCCCATCTATCCGCGCTCATGTAAACGGATTGGATCACATTTCCATACATATAACTGTGATTATAATAATTATAGTTAATAGCCAAATAGAAATAGAAGAAATAGAGAAATGAAATAGAAAGTAATATACAATACAGAGTAAAAGAATTGTTATGTGAAATGTGTGTTAAAAATGTGACTCTACCATAGTAACAGTATAGATTTCTAATTCTCCTTTTTTTGTATTTATTTTGACAATAAATATTACAATATTACAATAATATTGCAATAAATAATTTTTATATCCTAATCTCTGGAAAAACTCTACAAGAACTTGTAATCATTGACGTTATAATATATAACCAGTGTCTAAGAGATATTAAATAATTAATATATTGTTTTTGTTTTATTTATTTTCAAAATGTATGTCCATATCAGTATATCAGTACTTATATGACCCAAAAATCTGAAGACTGCTTCATAGAATTATATACCATATATTAAATAATTATATTGTTTTAATTTTATTTTTAAAATATTTATATAAACTTAAGATTTAAGTATATGTATATAGAACACTTATATGAACGAGAAAACTGTGCGCTGCTTCATAGAACTATATATACTCGTACTATACATAGCACAATATTCTATATGTTCAATTAATTTATGCCATATGCTAAATATTTTATAAAAAAAATTAGATTACTTTACCGCATAATAGACCTTCATATTGGTATATCTATGTTTGTCAGAAGAATACAATGCTTTTTATCAGATCACCCTACAAATACTTTTGAGGGTAATTGAAATATCTTCTGCTTAGTTCCACTATTTGTAATAAAGCAATTATTGAAGTTAATGATCTTTAACAAATTATGTTTTAATGTAGTGAAATATTCAAGTAAGTTAATTAAATTAGACATTTGTTAATGAACAACCGAACACCTCTGCAAAGGTATCGGTTCACACCGTGTAATTCACCATGTAATTAACGTATGTGTAGCCAAGACCAAGAATAATGGAAGCGAAGAAATGAAAGTAAGTGAAGGGTTAATGATTTCGGGTTTCTTGATTGGTAAACAACATACAAGCCACAACAGATGGTTTTGAGGTCACTTTCATAGTGATAATTATAAGGAAGTTAATATGAGCACATCGTGGTAAGTAGTTAAATGTAAATAAAAACTATATTTATTTATGAAATTATTCGAATTTTCTAAACACATTAAATTTAATTTTGAAAATAAGAAAAATCAATAAACTTTAGTAAAATATTCTTACCAGTTGAATTCTTAAAAATGCTATGGCAAGCGTAAGATTGCTATTTTTGGCACCCCGTTGAGAACTTATTAAGTTGTGGAATGCAACTGCGCGTTTATGCAGTTTTGTAAATGCAGTTTGCCACTAGAACTACTACTGTCAGTATGGGATATTCATTATTAACCATCAAACAAGTAGCGAACTGCAGTAGCTAAATGTGAACATTTAATTTAATTTAAAAAAGAAAAAAACTTCAATATTTCTCAAGCAGAAAGTTTTGTTGCACTCTACGTTGATTATTTCTATTTACGGTAGCAAACTCCTGCTTAAACAAGATGCAAATGTAGCACAGTGGAAGAAGTACTTCGCAGATTTATTCAACATACCAATAAAATGTAATAACGCCACGACAAATCCGGAAGTGTGCTCAGTGGAAAACATGAGCTCCCACAACTTACTTTATGTAAAGTCTACAGAGCAATTATGAAAAAAATAATGAAGCTAGTGCGCTTGACTTAATCGTGCCAGAACGCAACACTTATCAAGCACATAGATTATATTATATGCCAACGAACTCAGTAGACAAGAGCTAAGGCAGTTGATAGGTAATTAGACGATCACCAAGACCTGCGTTACCACCTTATCAATATATGCCTGTCTGAAGAGACAAAACTCGTCTCTGCTTGAAATCATATAAGCTTATTAGTCACATTCTTAGACAGTCTTACTTTGAGCTGCATAAAGAGGATAATGTACGATGGGACCTCCTATCCGTATCTGATATTACGGAATTCTCAACAGGAGACATTTCAGGAGTTTCTTGTTCGTAAAGGGTAAGTTATAGCCTCCGTGTTCAGCTCCGATGGGAACCAATTTCCCATTAACTCATATTTCTACTTTTTTACTCCAAAAATATATCATATGAATGGCATAGGAATTTTCTTCTTCACAAGTATGATGACAAAACTTCAAGAACTATTGTGACATCATCGGTAAGATAGAAATAAACGGAATACTGGCTCTTGGCAGAGCGAAGCACTGCAAAGATGGTAATCTTTTGTGTTTCATTATCTTTCATTAATAATGTGTGTTTAAAAAGTATTTACGAATATCATAAAGTAAGTCAAATTGCAGATACACCACTTAATATTTTACCCAATGATTGCTAAAACATTTGAGAAAAATAAAAGTATTTGATGGATTATAACTGGCATTCTCTGTATTTTTCTAGATTTTATAAAAGCATTTAATTCTTTAAATAGAAGAAAAAACAATGTAGATGGGTGGTTTATACAAGTGATCTAACTTTCAAGAAATGTTTCTATAGAATTTGAATTTATAGAATTTCTAATAGAATTTGATATGATATGAATGTTGTGACGTGACATATAGTATATACTGCCAAATAGTAATATATACTAAGGTATAGTATATTATTTAGCCTGAAGGACGCGATAATCAGAACAACTATCGGTAAAATTATTGATGCAAGAGCTACCCTTTGAAAAATATAGATTGATACGATGTCTAATAATAAGATGAGTAAAATTTCAGAAACGTAATCAATGATCGAGGTATTGGGGATCATATATTAAAGAATCGTCCTTTTTGATGCAAGAATGAAAATAGGACTTGTCTCTAATAAGATGATAAGATGAGTAAAATTACAAATGCGCAGGCGAGGATTGAGGTGTTAGGCAACAAATATTAAAGAAGATGGTTTAAAAAATGATAGAAAAAAAAATTTTGGACTGGAGCTGATATAATAACAAATACTTAAATAATTTATTAATATTAATTAAATATACTAAGCCCCCTATTCGGTAAACTTGATAAATTGATCAAGTATTGATAATTAATCAAAATTTTTATCAAGTAAAAAGCTTTTTGCTATTCTGTACAATATTGATCAATTTTAAAGCTCAAATGCCTAGCGCAGTACTGCAACATTAAGAATATAAGAATATATGACATACTTCTTATAATAATAAGTAAAATAAGAGATGTGTAATCAATGATCGATGTCTTAGGAATCCAAATTAAACAGAATTTAGCACACTCAATACTATGATGCTAAGGTTATATTTTATATGTACTCATTTATATATTGACCAATGAGCCCGTTAAAAAACGAATTTTATATTAAAAATATTTAATCATTGAAACAAAAAATTAATAAATTAAAAATAAA